ATTTTATATTATATAATATAATATGTTATAACTAACCAGACAGTTCATTTATTTTAGATTGTTCTAACTAAAATCATTAAATTTTATATATTATATACATAGGTTGAAAATGGTTGATATCATTTACATTTACAATTCATTTTTAATGTCATTTTTTTAAATTATAATCTAATCACTATTATTTTAATCAAGGATTTTATATTTTTTGTTGAACACGATTTAAAGTATAAATAAATATATATATATATATATATATATATATATTGTAGAAATAATTAACTTTTATGATATATAAAAGTTTTAATATAAAAATGTTTTCTTTGAATCTACTATACCTAAGATTTTATATTTTTATTTACAATATAATAATGCTATCTATAAATGATAAATTTAATATTTTAACTAGTTACCCGGGCCGGACTTGAAAATTTTTTTGAAAAAAATATCCGAGCCGGGCCGTATATTTAAAAACAAATATTTGAAATCGCAATTATTAGTTGTAAAAATCAAAAATAAATAAAATATATTTTTAAAAAATCCGGGCTGGGCCTGAAAATTTTTTATATAAAATAATCCGGGCCGGGCCGGAAAAATTTTTGAAAAAAAAACCCGGGTCGGGCCGTACAAATGGTGTCACTGCGGGTTTCTGATTTTAATAAAAATATTTAATATAAAACGAGTAAGTAGAGGATGGATTAGGGGAGGATAACTTATCTCAATTTTTTAAAGCAAAGGACAAAACAATAAATGTTTTTCATTTCCCCTCGTTAAAAAAGTTGCTTATTAAGTATAATACCGCAATCCCCTCATCTTCCCCTGTAGAGCGCGTTTTTAGGATAGCTAATGCCCTATTTATTGCCAAGCATTCCTGTCTATCAGATAAAAATTTTGAAAAACAACTATTATTTTAGTATTTATAATTATATTTATCAAAATAAAACTATATTATTTTTAAACATAGCTAAATATATTTTGGTGTTAAAAAAAATATAAGATATTTATTTATATAAATTTAATTTAAAAAAAAAATTTATAATAAAATTTTGAACGAACGTGAACGCGTTGCTTTTTTAAAAAATATTTACAACACTGTAATTTTCAGGCAATGTATTACAAAAAATAATTACCTTATTTGATGGAAAAAAAATAAAACGTTGTTGTTTCCATACAACTGTTTTTATATATTAATTTAATTAATCAGCCATGATCATGTAATTCTCGATTTAATTTTAAGAATTTTATATAAAAACTCTAATTTTTAATAATTTTTTATTGATTCTTCAAATTCATTATTTTGCAAGGGAAATATTATGATTAGCAAATTTAAAGTTTATTACAAATTGGATAGTGGCGAAAATTTTATTAGAATTCTTAATATGGATACAGATCAAAATTATACTTGTGAAACTGTTCGAGATAAAGTGAAATACGAAACAGTTACTATTAAATCTATCAATTTAAAAGGTTTTAGCCAATATTATTTATATTTTTTGTAAAAAAGAGAGATTTTATTCTAAATTATAGATGACGAGGGCGAATTGTGTAGAATGGATACTATGTAGGAATTGGCAGATTATATTAATCTTTCGGATAGGTGTTGTTCCATCAAACTCTACGTAATCGGTAATATAAAACTCTTTTGTATAATATATATTATCTTGAATTATGCCCAATTTTCGTTATATTTAATAGGCATAAAGATAAAACCTGATGTAAAGATCGTCGAAAAATACAATGAATTAAATTTAAAAAAATTCATTTAATTATTAATATTTTATCCATAAGTATTAAAAAATATATATTTAATAAATTATACAGAATAAAGTGTAAATAATAATATTATAGTGTTTTGCAATTTATTTGAAAACGAAAATAGATTTTAATAAAGAATAAAATAGACCTCTAATTATAAGTATGATGAGAATGTTATTTAGTACCGATGTTTTTCTAGTATATTTTAAATCAAAATTGTTTGATTAAGTAATTAGACAATTTTGTAAACCTATGATCAAAATATTTAAAATTTTTTTTTTTTTAAATAAGACTATCATTATATACAAGGAAAATAGTATTATTGCTTAAATCTCGATTTATTTTAGTAAAATAAATCCACCTACGCCTTAAGTCAGAATAGAGCTAGCTGCCATCTTTTGGCGAAATCTCTGAGTAATATTTTGATTAAAATTTGATTCAGTCGTTTTTAGGCTTTGGAAACAACACTAGAAAATAGGTAATATTTAACCGGTTCTCGGTGCTATAATGAAATATCCTTTTTAAAATGCGGGGCAATTAAGTTCGATAAAATTATGCGGAATTTTTATTAAAAAAATTACCATAAATAGATATTTGTAAAATATATCACAAATAAAATTTTAAAATATATCAGGAGATGGAAAATATTTATAATATTCACTTTTGTATCCTATTTTGTTTGAAAATTATAAATGGATGGATAACAAAAATACTGGTCAATTTTCACAAGTCTACTATAGCAATTCATTAATTAAACATGTACACACGGAGTCAGTTGTAGCGCCATTTTGTGTAGCTTTGCACGTCTACTAATTGTCTTTATTTATCATTATATGAACGCACATTAATGTCATTTAATATGGCGCTACAGCTGTCCTCTATAGCATAGCCACTTTTAAATGCATTTATTGAATCGCTAATCTATTAGTATATGTACATCATAGAGAAAGGATAAAGAAATGTATATATTCACAAAAATAAAGTAAAGACTTGAATATAAGCCTGGAGATTTTGCTCATAGATGGCCGAAATGTTTTGACCTGGGCTGTTTAACATCACTAGTCTTTGAAGTAGAAATTTGCAAATGCCTAGCCAGGCTAATATTTGATTTTTTTTTAGACCTAGCAAAAAAAAATTAACGGGCCCTGTCAGATTTTTTATTATTTTTGGAAATAAAGATTACTACAATCCACATTATGGTTAAGTTTTTATTTGCTCATATTTAATCTTAATTCTGAAAACATGGTCAGATCATAAGCGTAAACAGTATCTTGCGGGAGGGAAGCACTATTAGGTGGGGTTTTCCTCCTAAAATCCTATTGGAGACATTTAAGTCAACTTATTGTAGATTTGGCTATATTAGAATTTATAAAAAATAATTTTGAGTTTTAAAATATGAAGTATCACCGATATTTTAAATAGTTAACTTTTACAAATTATCTTTATTGTGATATAGTGTTTACATTGAAGGGAAGGGAGTGATGTTAGTGATCTGCGATTATGGCCTAATTAAGAAATTTAATTTTTAATCACATGACCTCTCAGAGTTAACTGAAAAAAAAATGATTAAATTTTATTTAAATAAATTTTTTATATATATTTATATCTCTCCCATCTTTAATTCTACATATTTGTTTATTCCTTAGGTTACGGATTATCACGATCTTCAACAGGCCTCATTGTTAAATTCCATCCCGAAATTTGTTATAAATAGTTGTTCGGCCCTATCCCAAACTTTTGTTTAAATTTGTCCCAAAACAGAACCTAAATGAAATAATAATCAGCCCAGCGTAAATTTATTTAAAGAAAAATTAATATAATTTTAATTGTAAAAGAAAAATATCCTACAAAAATAAAAAAATATTGTCAAGAATTTTAAAATTGATTTTTTTAAAAAAATTATTAGGCCCAAATTATTATTTTTAAATAGGCCCAGGCCAGGATTTTCAAATCTATAGTTGGGGGTGTGCAGGGTAAAATTTTTTATTAGCTTAAATGCTATTTATGAGAACAGGTAGATTTTCTGGGGAAGGGGTGAGGGTTGTTCTCCTTGCCACTTTATGGCTATGTCTATTTCTCAAATCATCATTGAAAAAAGATAAGACATAATGCAATGTATTAGGCATATTGTTTAATTTCTTGATTTTATAAATGTTATAATCCATAAAGTATATAGTTTTTCCACTCCCCATTATTGTTAAATAATTGTTTCTTTTAAAGTTCAAGGCCTTATATTTAAAAACTGAGCCGGATCGGGCCTGGATTTTAAAAATCTGACTGGGTAACCTTATAAAAAGTTATAACTGGGTACAAATTTACCTGAGCTAGGTCATGTGGAGGCCTGAAATTTTGTCTCTCAATGATTTCTAACTTCTATATTATTACTTGAATGATATTATTCTCGAAATCAATAATGCCACCTATCTCATTCAATATAAATGATAGAGTATCGTTTAATAAATTTGTCACATATCTTTTGTATAATATGGAAGACATTTTGCCTGGAATAATGCTTGCAACTCAAGTTAGGTATGCTGGAATTAATAGTATTAACCATTTCCACGGAAACAAAATGTTCCCCAATCCAACAGTTATTGAGGCATTCAATATTCCCATTTGAGACAAAATCTTTTAGAAGAACCAACATGACAAAATTGATTTGGAATTCACCATTTATATATTTGTTTTAATTATATGACAATAATTTGACTTTTAATAAAATAGATACTTTTATAAAAGTGTATATAGAAACAGATATGACATTTTTGTATCTAGATATACTTTAACAACTTTGATTTATTCAAAATATATTTATTGGGTAATTTTTATGAAAAAACTAATAAGTAATATTAATTATTTTTTGTATTTTATTCTATTTTTTTTTCCAAAAATTAATGTAAAATTTTGGACATGTTTTATAATTTTTTAAATTTGCAAAAATTTATATTTTAAGGTTTTTTCAAAGCATTTTGGACACAGCCATATAAATATAGATGCCTTTTTTGATAGATTTGACATGGAATGCCCAAAATCAAATAACTAGAAAATTTGGGATAGCATATAATGGCTGATATGGGGTAAACTGATTGTGAGGCATGGTTTATTTAATGGGCTAGGAAGACCTGGCATGTAAAATTTATTTGTTTTGTAACCAATTCCCATATAAATTCAGTAACATGCTTTAATAAAAATATATCTATTCAACTTATAATCAATGTAACTGTTATTATGATTGAAATAAATGAAGGTTAATATTAAACATGCAAGTTTTTTTATTGTTTCTCAAAAAATTTTAACAAATTGCCAACATGTATTAAAATAAATTAATGAGAAAATTCATAAATAGCCTAGCCAACTCTATCTCGTGGAATGATTCGCAATTCAGATCCATATTTGAGAAATATAGTTCCTATTAAATATATATAGAAATAAATAAAATATAAATAACTATATTATAAAAATTGCAATAATAAATCTCAGGAAAATTTTACAAAATATTATGAACAAAATTAAGAAAATGATTGCACATTTAGATTTGTATATTTTGTTAGGTGTATCTAAAATAAACTGATTACTATTTTAAAAAAATTCATACTATTTCTTAGATTTTGGAAATCTTTTAATAATTACCTGCAGTAGAAGATGGTGTTATTCCAATTCCATCATTACTTATGATTGCACTTGTGTTAGGATCAATCTTAAACTAATTATATATTTTTTATATAATTATAAAAAAGCAATATTATAAAAAAGCAAACTTCTTCAGCTGCATATTTGATAACTTGTATGAAAGGGGTATTTTCGGGAACACTTAATCTAAAATAAGTTAAAAATCATTTATTATGTTCAATTTGGAATATTTTATGTTTGATAACGATATAAAAAATATGATTCAAAATAATCAAAAGTATTCATAATTTACACTTTGTATGGCAATTTAGGATCTGATGTCAAGGTAATTTTAAATGTAACCTTTGACCTAGATTAATATTATATTATAAATTTAGTTAATTTATCTATACATAATAACATCTAGTAAAAGATTTCACAATCGTGGGCAATATGATCGTATGAGACAATATTTTATGCTAAATAATAGCCGTTTTTTAGGGTGTCCAAAAAATAATTAATCAGCTGCTTTTAATAATTTTAGAAATATTTTTGGCGATATCTTCAAAAATTCTAATAACTTGCATTATGAAAAACCTAAAATATTATTACTTAGAAAAATCTATATTCTTTAAATTATTGTCTATTAGTGATGAAGGCGGAGTGATGATTTGCTTAAATAATTGATGTTTGAGGTGTAATTATAGATGTAATTAGGGGATAAATATATGGTGGTAGCCATCCAGGATATGGTTTTTAAATATTTCTTATTTGAATTTGACATTTAAATGATATGTATTTGGCTTGAGGAACCCCGATATTAAAGATGAATCGATATTGAGGTGCTAATACAAGCTATATGTGAAGGATATAATACACATCCGGATATAATACAAGCTATGCGAACTGTGGGAAGATAGACAATGATGAGATGAAGGAAAAGGATAAAACAAAATGGGGGACAATGGATCAGAATAAGGTTCTAGTGTTTGACAGAAGAAGAGCAATTGATATAATAAAAAGAAGTGAAATATGGCAGGGATATTGATTATAACCTTATTGATATATACTAGTGTGATCTGCGAATTATGTGGATATGACATACATTAATGTGGTGAGAGAATTATGTATTGCGATATTATTTATCGTGTTAAATTAAAGTTTTATAAATGGTATGCTAAAACTATACATGTTCTGCATAGCAATCAACTGCAAGTGATTTCAAAGCGGATATCTGGAATATTGTGGGAGTATAGAGTTTCTGAAGAGAGAAAGTGAAACATGTGGAATGAGGTAATGTTTTGTATTCAGGTGGGTGGTGTTTTGATGTTACAGGTTATTTTTGAATCAGTCATGACATCTTCTTACAAGCTAATGTGAATTAGTAAGATTTAGGCTGCTTTCATAGTGGAGACGGATCCGATTTCACGTCAAAACATCTGATTTGACGGCGTCCGACAAGGCTTTCATAGTGATTTTTTTTTAACGTTTCAACTTAAAACAGATTAGACATTATTTTATTTTTTAAAATGAACCAATATTCTTTATTTAAATTATATATGATATATGATCTCTTATTCAAGAAAGAAAAAAATATAGTTAATTCGAAAAGGAGGAAGGAGGGAGCATATTTTACTTTGCTGCCAAAATTACTTATAGATGACCTCAAGTTTTATAATTACATGTGTATGAAAAAAGTGAGTATATTTTTATATATAGTATTTTCACTTTAAAAAATAGATCTTATTAAAAATAAAATTACAAAAAAGAAAACTATATAAATTTATTAAAATTAGTTTATTATATATATATATATATTAAATTAATTTTATAATTAATATTGAGATATAACCCTAATATTACATATAATAAGAATGAATATTTACAATAATTAATATAACATTTAATAATATTATAATAATTAGGCATTTAAAAATCATTTTTATGCTAATTTCTTGATACTTCATTTGATCTAGATACCTAGCAACTGGTAATTCATATGTCACCTTGTCATATTCTCATAAACTTGGGGTATCAACTATAAAACTAATAATAGGAGAAAATACAAAAGCTATATGGGATATTATTCAACCCATCCATATGAAGGTCCCAACATTGGAGATGTTTGAGGAAGTTGCTAAGGGCTTTGATGAAAGGTGGAACTTCCCAAACTGTATAGGTTTAAATTTTATTTATATCAAACAAAAGATAATTATATTTTTTATTTTATTATTTCATACTATATTATTATGTTAATATTTTATAAGGTGCCATTGATGGGAAACATTGTAAAACAAAAAAGTCTCCATATTCTTGAACCCAATTTTATAATTACAAGCATGGATTTTCAATAATCCTTCAAGCATTGGTGGATCATAATGGCAAATTTATGGTTATAGATGTTGGCACTTATGGAAGCCAAAATGAAAGAAAATTTAAATATAATAAGTTTTGATCTTGTTGGTTCAAATTATCCTTTATGGAACCAACAGAGTATTAAAAATAGTTCTGATAAAAATAAAAATATAAGAAACTTATTTAGCAATTATTTTAATAATAGACATTTGCCCTGGCAAACTAATATATTAAATTAATATTTATTTTTTCAATATTTTGATTTTATATGTATTAAATTTCTTTATATTTTTTTGGTATATATTTTCTTTTTATAAAAATACAAGAACTTGTTCATAAAATAATTATTTTGTACCAATTTCCCATGTTTTTGTTTAATATATTCTTAAAAAAAATTTATACATGTAAATAAATATTATCAGCTATTTTATTAAATTTAAATACTTGGTGAATGGGTAATAAGATTTATTAGAAATTGATACTGAGGTCTGTATTACTACTGATTTTTGAATGTGACATTTTTTTAAAGAAGCTTATATAAGAAAAGGATCCTGAGTGTAAATATCTTGCCTACTTAGTAAGCCTTGACTAATCAAATTTATTTTTATCAAACCTTTCCTGATATGGTACTTAAAATGATATAATTATAGGTCAGGCTAAGTTTAAAAAGCACAAAGCAAATATTTATTATTTTGTAATAAAAAAATTATAATATGTTTAACAATTATAATATATTTATTTAAAAATATAAATATTAAAAAATATATAATTTATTTTTTTAATTGACTTTTATATAAAAAAATCATTTGCATAATGTTCATTTTCACTTTATCTTTGTGATCCTGTGGTAAAGATGACAATTCTTCATCTATAAATTTAGCAAAATCACCTAAAAATATAAAACAAAGGTAATGAATGATCATATTGTTTGCTCAATTATTGATAGTATTTAATTTAATTTAAAAAATTAAGTTTGCTCCTAAATAATTTTTCAAAGATATTGATTAACATTGTAATACCAAATTTAAGAATTAAATAGTAAGCTTAATCTTTTTATCTAAATACTTAGATGAGATATATTAATACAATAAATTTAGCAAAATCACCTAAAAATATAAAACAGAGGTAATGAATGATCATATTGTTTGCTCAATTATTGATAGTATTTAATTTAATTAAAAAAATTAAGTTTGCTCCTAAATAATTTTTCAAAGATATTGATTAACATTGTAATACCAAATTTAAGAATTAAATAGTAAGCTTAATCTTTTTATCTTAATACTTAGATGAGATATATTAATACAATAAATTTAACTCATCACCTAAAAAATATAAAACAGAGGTAATGAATGATCATATTGTTTGATCAATTCTAAATATATATATAATTATTGAAAGTGTTCAATTTAATTAATAAAATATATTCAAAAAAATTTATGTTATATTTATAAAGTTTTAATACCTGATTCACCAAATTGTAGGTCTAAATTTATCCAAAATTCTGATTTTTTGCGTGAATCCTTGTAACTTTCATCAAATTTATCATATATAAATTTAGATCCTCTTACAGCTTCAATTAAATCTAACACATTAATTTTCATTTTTAACATGAACAAGCTAAATTATTAGAAATAAAAAATTATATTTAGTTATTTTTAACAAGGTAGAGTAAAAGAGAAGATAAATGGAATAGTTATGATAAAATGCTATTATAATTAATTCAAAAAATTCTATTAGTTTAATGTATATATGTATTATGATGTTTGAATATTAGAATTAAAATAAAATTCTATTTAGTTATGATAAATAAGCTTAGTTTTTTAACAAGGTATGTTACAAATAGAGAAGACAAATGGAAGAGTAAAATTTAACTCATCACCTAACTATTTAAAAAATTCTATGTTATATTTATAAAGTTTTAATACCTGATTCACCAAATTGTAAACCTAGATTTATCCATAATTTATAACTATAAAAAAATTATAAGTAACGTTATAACGCTTTATAAAATTTGCCGGATCAAAAAGTCAAAATGTTTTGACTTCAAAATTTGCCGGATCCGTTTTCAAGACGGAAGGTATCGGAACGGACGCACTATGAACGTATATATCATTTTTAATGAGATTGACTTTTGACGGAACGGATGTAAAAATCGGATCCGTCTCCACTATGAAAGCAGCCAAGGTGAAGATGTCATAATAAACACTTTTGGTAATATTTATGGTCTCAATGTCAATCAATTTTTAATAATATATCATTCGCCAATTTGAAAGAAAAAATATATTAATAATTTATTCATAAGGTAATTCAGTTAATTTCCACAATTGTCATAATTCAAGAAATCAAAATTATGAAAAATATCAATTGGCATTTTACTAAGAAATTCAAATGTTAATTCATTATTAAGTAAATATTTCCTTTTTATGTATTCAAATATGTCCATTATGATTGATTTACATTTAAGTTATTTTAATAAGATAATTTATATCATAATCTCGGCATATAATTTTAATCTATATTATAATTTTACGATATCCTCACTACGTCATCGTGACGTCATGTCATCGGTACGTATATATTTTTATTTTTTTTATTTGTTGATTTTATTTATTTATTTTATAAAAATAGATGAATGGAATTTCGAGAATTGATGGTGTACACATACCTAACATGGATTGAGAGATTTGAAAAATCGTCTTTGAATTGATATAAACAATATTCCCTCAACTTTCTAAATATGAATGAAATAAATGATGTGAATAAAAAGATTCAGGCTAATATTTCATTTAATCCTTTCTTTATTTTTTAGATTACCTTATCAATTTTCATCTCATATTATCAATTACACATTAATAAATTCTCTACAAGATACTCAACTTGTATATTTATTTTGAACATACTCACAATTTTTGTCAGTACTTACATTACAATTTTTTATACTCATATTTTTCTTTCATAACCAATAATTAAGAAGATAATCAAGTATATTCAAATATTTAAATATCCTTATCCTAACTTATTTATAATCTCCAATCCTTATAAATAACTCTTTCTTTATTTTTTTCCCCTCCCTTAATGAATTTATTTATCACTAAATTTTATTATCTCTTTTCTTTCTATCTCTATTATCTATTAACCACTATTT